AGAAAAGACAAATTTAAAGTTTAAAATTAAAAAAATAATAATTGATGTGATCTACTGTATATATAACTCTGGGATTAGAAACTGAAGCATCTTAAGTTGTTCCAACCTGATGGCTTTTTCTTCTCTGTTATACAGAATAATAAAGAACAGCTGTTATAGTGAACTGTATAGGACAAAATCAACCTGGCCCATGTTTCGTGCAGTAGAGTATAGTTTTATTTAATGGCATATCAGCATCTGTGGCTATTTTCATGGCAAAAACTGATTTACAAAAATACAAGAGTTACATTTTATACAATGAAAATAAAAAACAAAGCAAACAGAAACAGCAATTAATACTTTACAAGATTTTTAACATTAATGTGTTGCCTTTTCTGGTAAATTCTTACTTAAGTCCTTAAGTGAGTTTGCTGCCTTTGCTGTTGATTTTGTTACTGCTGCTGCTGATGATGATGATACTGCTGGAGTTGATCTGAGACTGTAGACATTAAAATAAACAGAAATATAGGGTATTAGCTGAATGAACCATTTTTATGTGACCATGACAAGATGTAAAGATTGCTGACAGTGACTGGCTCACTAGTTCACTGACCTGCTAAAGCTACAGATTCTACCCAGGCTGCTATAGTATAATAATACAATAATAGTAATAGTAACGTTACTAGGGCAGATGTTCACAGAGGCTTCTGCACACAAAACATAAGATACTGGTAAGCCTATGTGATAACTTACCAGAGTTGTGATAATAATTTTTATGTGAAAATATTTTTTTAATAAATACTGTAATAATAATAATAATAATAGTTAAAGTACAAATAATAGTTTTTAGTCAAATAACACCCCTCCACACCCGTGAAACTTTTCTCCCTCAAACAGCAAGCTAACGTTACTTCTACAGCCTACACACAGCAATACAAACAACATCTCTCTGCATGCTCTCTTCACGTCATTCTAGTAAAATAATAATAATAAGTAAACAAACATCAAAATCACTTCGCTGAGAATAGAACACCACTTACCAGCAGCCGCAAGAGTTGAAGATCTGGGAATGCGCGATTGCGCGTAGCCGCGCGAAATTATAAAATGCGCGTGCAGCGTGAGGAATCAGGTGAAAGGTCATCATGTGGGTCATTATATTTACGGCTAAATTATTATTCATTCATTTTACTACTAGTTAGATGGGGCAGGCATCCACAAAAGTGCCTTTAAATACAAAAAAAAGGAGAGGAAATTTTGTCTTGACAAAAGGGCACTTTGGGCACCAAGGGGCAAAAGGGCAGGTGCTCGAGCAATTCGATTCCAGCTTTATGACATGGCGCATTATCCTGCTGAAAGTAGCCATCAGAAGTTGGGTACATTGTGGTCATAAAGGGATGGACATGGTCAGCAACAATACTCAGGTAGGCTGTGGCATTGCAACGATGCTCAATTGGTACCAAGGGGCCCAAAGAGTGCCAAGAAAATATTCCCCACACCATGACACCACCACCACCAGCCTGAACCGTTGATACAAGGCAGGATGGATCCATGCTTTCATGTTGTAGACGCCAAATTCTGACCCTACCATCCGAATGTCGCAGCAGAAATCGAGACTCATCAGACCAGGCAACGTTTTTCCAATCTTCTATTGTCCAATTTCGATGAGCTTGTGCAAATTGTAGCCTCAGTTTCCTGTTCTTAGCTGAAAGGAGTGGCACCCGGTGTGGTCTTCTGCTGCTGTAGCCCATCTGCCTCAAAGTTCGACGTACTGTGCGTTCAGAGATGCTCTTCTGCCCACCTTGGTTGTAACGGGTGGTTATTTGAGTCACTGTTGCCCTTCTATCAGCTCGAACCAGTCTGGCCATTCTCCTCTGACCTCTGGCTTCAACAAGGCATTTCCGCCCACAGAACTGCCGCTCACTGGATGTTTTTTCTTTTTCGGACCATTCTCTGTAAACCCTAGAGATGGTTGTGCGTGAAAATCCCAGTAGATTAGCAGTTTCTGAAATACTCAGACCAGCCCTTCTGGCACCAACAATCATGCCACGTTCAAAGTCACTCAAATCACCTTTCTTCCCCATACTGATGCTCGGTTTGAACTGCAGGAGATTGTCTTGACCATGTCTACATGCCTAAATGCACTGAGTTGCCGCCATGTGATTGGCTGCTTAGAAATTAAGTGTTAACGAGCAGTTGGACAGGTGTACCTAATAAAGTGGCCTGTGAGTGTAGATTATATTACCAAAAGATCTTATCATTGCCTGCGTTTATTTTATTGCTCAATTAATTGCTTTACATTTCAAGACAGGAAAAGAATTGTTTCACAGCTAATATTTCCTCTTATTGATTATGCTGATATTTTTTACCAAAACACCTATGATAGTTATCTTAAGCCTCTTAATGTTGTGTTTAATTCTTTGTGCAGATTTGTGTTAAGGTGTCCATATCGTACTCATCATTGCCATATGTATGATTTGCTTAATTGGTTGCATCCTAAATCCAGAAGACAATTTCACTGGTTTTTGTTTATTTTTAAATGTGTTTACTTTGCTTGTCCTTCTTATTTGAATGAACTGCTAATTCCATATAGAACTCCTTATTCTCTTAGACATTCGCAACATCCTTTTTTCTTTGTTCCAAAAACTGTTAGTGTAGCTGGACGTAGGTCATTTCTGTATAAAGCCCCTTCTGACTGGAATAATCTTCCTGTTTCTTTGAGATCTATTACTTCTTTCAATCGTTTTAGGTTATGCCTATTCTCTTATCTTAAAATAACCTGTTTATGTTTTTGATTTTATTTATTTATTTATTTTTCCTTGGTTGAGATTCACTTAAGGATATTTTGCTGTTACGTGGCTCTATGTTGATGATCTATGATGATGAGATTCTGTAATGAAACTACTAAATACTGAAACTATGTTGGGTGTAGAAGCCCATAAGAGTGTGAGAAGCAGGTTGAGCTTTTTTTTTTTTTTTTTGTAGTCTTGTTTTGTAATGTTGTTGTGTCTTATGTTGTCTGTGTTGTAAATTACTTATGGTTTTAGGACCCCCTTGAAAATGAGATGTTGCATCTCAAGGGGCTATCCTGTCAATAAATTCAAACATGACATTGCTGTAGCTTTTGCATAGCATGCTATACTAACAAATTTGTATCAATTTGTATCAATTTCCATCTAAGTTGAAATGCTTTAAAGTGTGTGTGCTTGTAATTTTGTTTTTCCTGTGTTTCCATTTTTCTTTCTTACTGTTTTTACTTTCATTTATTCCATATATATATATATATATATGGGCTATATATATTTGTTGTTACATGTAGTGGTGCGAGTTCCTTTTTATTAAACTTCATTATACGCTTATTGGCCCTCATTTATCAAAAGTGCGTACACCAAATTTCCAGCGTACACCTGGCGTACACCCAAAACCACGGTGATTTTGAGATTTATCAATATGGACGTTGGCGTACGGCACACTCAAATCCTACACCAGCTCAGGAGGTGGTGTACGCACGTTTTGAGTTAGTGCGGAAATGCGCAGAAAAATTCCTAACACCACAAAACGCACTGACAAACTAAAATATATGATATGCTATGACCCAGTGTAAAAAAACAACAAAATAGTATTTATAAACTTCAGTATTTATTTTTGTGCAACATGGACTTCAATTGTTTAATTTGTGAGACTTTACCAAGGCATTTGATTTGTAAGCATTCCTTCAGTTGCGAGCCTGTGGACTTTACTCTGCCGTTTCAGGATTATCCCGGCAGGTGCGCACGGACACGGTTCGGTAATGAAAGGCTTTCAATGACCAAAAAATAATTCAGACTGACAAAATAATAAAAAATACATTCCTCTTCTTTTACATATAATTATAATACAAATAATAATAATAACAACATTCTTCTTCTAAATAACAAGCGCCATTAATAATACAAATCATAATAGGCCTAATAAGAAGAAGAATATTGCAAATCATCATCACTATTGTACACCCCAATACATGTGAAGTGATTCTAAATTGAATGCTAATTTCAAAAGACGTGCTGTAAAATAATGCATTGTGATAGGTCATTTCGGCATCACGTCAGAGAAGCTTCTCTTCTTTGCCGTCTTCCGTGTGTCCATGGTGTAAAATGAGGGCGTGGGGGGAGCGGAGACTTGAATATTTAGGGGCGTGTTATTCTAATGACGATCGTTTTCTGCCGCGGGATTTATCAAGGGCAGGCATTGCGTACACCTGGATTTCAAAGGTACGCACAGCTTCATAAATCAGGCGGTGAGAGGAGTGTAAGCATAATCTTACGCCAACATATACACCCGTTTCTACGCAAGAATGATAAATGAGGGCCATTGTCTCTGCCTGTTGATCACATAAGCCTCTTTAATATATGATCCGAAGCTACAAGCTGATATTGTTAAGTAAACTGACTTGATTAGTAAGCTAAGAAGAAACCTTCTTGAGAATTGATAATGAATCTCCAGCCAGGCTGGATTCTATTAAGGTATTCTGAAAATCAACAGCAACCCATCTCTGCGTAGGATGTATATTCTTAATTAATTAGAATTTGTTGTGTTTAATTAACACTGGAGCAGATGCGTATACTATGTAACCCCCTTTTTGGGAGATTTATTACGTATCAACCTGGTTCAAACAGTATTCTCATAGATTAATAAGTATTGCATACTTTTTCCGCGAATCTAACCAGTACTGTAGTTCTTTACAGTAGCTACTTATTGGCTCTTAAGGGGCAATCACTGTTATGTTTTTGTTTATGACTGGTCAAGTTAATGCATTATAGGCTGTGCTTGAAGACTGAAAATATGCTAAAATACAGAGAATCAGATTGGTGCCAAACATTTTAACAGCACTGTATTCACAATAGAATGATATCTGATAATGCCTATCTATGTTGTATATTTTGTATTTAATGTTTTGATATTGGGAATGTGTATGAGTTCTTTTTAATAAGCTGAGAGATCACAGAATCACAGTGTGAATTTATCCCAATTCTCCTGTTGTTTAGGTGATGAAGTGGTTCTGGGCTGTGGTGTCATCCTTCACACAGGAAGAACTGGCACGTTTGTTACAGTTCACCACTGGCTCCTCGCAACTCCCACCTGGCGGCTTCAACACTCTCTGCCCCTCCTTCCAGATCATAGCAGCTCCCACACACAGCACGCTGCCCACTGCACACACCTGGTGAGCACACACACACCAAACATTCCCTCACTTCAAAAGAGGGACCAAAATTTAATTCCCAGAATTAAATGTGAAATTAATAGACTCTAGAAAGGAACATTCAGCCTTCAGATTTTTCCGTCACTCCTAAAAGCTTTCAATCAATGAAAGAAAATTGACGGTTAATGCTACCCCTAGATGGAACAGGTTTACTGAGAGCCAGTGTCCTGCAGTTTAATTCCGATCCTAATCAAATGCACCTGAACAAATGAATCAAGGTCTTTAGTATTATATTAAAATGACAGGTAAAGAAGTTTGATCAGGGTTGGAGCTAAATTCACCAAAGCAGAACCAAAACTATCAGTTTTATAACCGTATTTAATATTGTTAAATATAATTATACATTTCTTGCAACATGAATATAGTTTTGTAAGAAGTATCTATAGAAAAAAATCTGTTTAAATTAGGATTGCATGTTTAACTCTTGTTTAACTCTTCTGTTCAGTTTTAACCAGCTGTGCCTCCCAACGTATGACTCCTACGAGGAGCTCCACAAGCTGCTGAAGCTGGCTATCAGCGAGGGGAGCGAGGGCTTTGGAATGCTTTGAACATCAGTCTAGCTCTGGCAGAAACAGAGAAATCTCCAAACCTCTTTTTTATAAACATCTCACCCCAGTGCACTTTACAGTGTACTGTAAATGACGGACTTTGATCACAAGATGCCTCTGGCAGGATTCAGGAGTTATGTACATATGTATCAAAATATTGTTCTACAAGATGAAAATAAGAAGCAAATTTTAGTTTGTTTGTTTCTTTGTTTTGTTTTGTTTTTTTGTTACAATAGTTGCCTATCTTTCCATATGTGAGTGCAGACATAATTAAATGGCCGAAGTGTCAAGATGCTTGTTTTGCATTTGGCATAAATAAAACTTTTTTTATGGAACGTAGTTGACTGTGGGATATTGGGAATGACTGCAAAACCTCTGCACTTGGGCCTTAACTGATCAGGGAAGGTTATGTATAACTTTTGTTTCATTTTATGCTTTATTTATACAGTGTATGCATTTCCCCTGCAACTGTTCATTTGATATTTATGAAAAAGGGATCTTAGACACGTTGTCGCATACCACATAAACATCTTTTTTTAACAAGTGAAATTTGTTTAATGGGCATTTCATAAATCATAAAATTGTTTTTCTCAGAAATGTCGATAGTGTTTCAGTCGCTACTGTTTTGGCAACTGTTTCCGGAAACAGTTAAATGTTTGATGTTTTTTCAGATGTCAGACAGCTGACTTGCACATTTGTCAGATGTGGTCTTTGCTCTCTTGAGCTCCTTTTTATTTTGAACATTTATCATTAATGATCATATATAGGAAACTAGTTATGATCAAATTAAGGTAAGATGTACATTTAAAATATTATTACAAAAACTATTTGTTTTCTACTGTTATTCTGAAATATTTGAGTAACATCTATGCATCATACCAACAAGTCCACAAACAACAAACACTGGCTTTGCTTGTTTTTATAAATAACTGATGCTCTTTTTATCATTTAGTTCAGTTAATGGCACTCCACTACAAAATTAAAGTTCATTATATGGGAAAAATCATAATGCACAAAGGCTGACTGTTGAACATTAGTGACCTTTTTTCTACTGTATAGAGCTTGTAGCAATATTCTATGAGGTCACATGCTAATCTGGAGTGTCCTTTTGTGACCACTACAAACCGTTTGCAGGGATAAAAGAAATGCTAAAACATAACTACCCTGATGTTACACTGTGCTCTTGCCTTTGTCCTCTCTCTCTCTCTCTCTCTCTCTCTCTCTCTCTCTTCTCTCTCTCTCTCTCTCTCTCTCTCTCTCTCTCTCTCTCGCTCTCGCTCTCGCTCTCTCTCTTTGACACACATTTTCTTTTTCCATGAAGTTAGACTAGAGTTAACATTAACATTTCTGTGCATTTTATGCAACACAATAAAAAATCTGAAATGTATTCATTCATTCATTGTAAATGTCATAAAAAATGTTGGGTGATACACAATCTAAAGCATAATATTATGGATCAGCTTTAGTAAAAGCAAAAATTCCGAATTTAGTACAGCATTAAGAAAGCATATATCAGTAGCTAGAAAAAAAGCTTTGAGTGTGCTAAGGGGGGAAAAAAAGGTTGTGCAAGAAATAAAGTGTAATAAAGTGCCACATACATTATGAATCATTGCATTGATGTCTTTTAGCTCTATATTTAGACTTGTTACTTTGACTAAAATATTCAATTGAATGAGTCTTTTATCAGTACAGTAGTTTTCCCTGTTAGTAAATATTGTGTTATGCATATTTATTCATGAAATCTGAAATTGAGTTCATTATTATAGTACAAAGTATTAAGCATATTTTGGATAATAATGAAATCATGCAAAAAAAAAAAAAAAAACTTTTACATTCATGTGCTCAAACAATTAATTATGGATGGAAAATAAGTGCATTGTGTAAAACTTTAATTTAACATTTAATTTAACAATGTGTAAAAAAAAAAAAATAACAATGCCTATGCAAACTAACATGCTTGTAAGAAGCCAGATAAATTGCTCTCAAATTATTATTATACTTCTAAAAAAAAAAAATTAAGTATGTTGGTCAATCATATAAAATAAAGTATAAAACATAATATAAAAATAAAATACTTGCTTTAGAGAAATAAAATTGTCTGTTAAAGCCATGAAACATTTGCTGCGTCCTAATTTAGAGGCTGCATCCTTTGAAGGTTGTTTTACTTTTCCCGGGAAATGAAGGATACAACAGATGGATTCTTCGTGACCAGTTTGCCAGATTGTGTCCATGATTTCCATCCCCAAAAGCTCTCAAAAACCAACCCAGATCATTCACTACCGAAAGAATGTGATAGAATTATATTGTCATGACAAATAAGGTTTATAAGTACCATTTACCTCATCAAAACTAAATATTGAAATTATAAAAATTAATCTATTCTCCTGTGTATTGAGTCATAATTGTTTGTTACATTTAACAGAGCAGAAAAAGGACTCAGTTACCAGGGCTACCATCAGATAACACTGTTGTGAAAAATGTGGTCTTATGGAAAAGCAAAGGCCTAGGAATAAGAAAGACACATAAAGCCCAAAAAACAGACTTTTCTGCATTAATTAATAGACAAACTGTTCTATAAATTAACATGCTTATCACCAAAACGTGTGTTATTACTGTCCTGTATAGTGTCTGTCTACTATTGGATACCTTTTTATGAGTAAACCCACCTATATCGTGTCTCCTATCAAATGAATGTACATGTAACGACTCACACTTAAGTTTACATCACCTCCTCATGGAATGCAGTGTTTGTTATATTAATCAGAGAGTATAAATGGACACCTACTGCCAGACCCTTTCTACATATGCTCCAGACAAAAGGCCATAAAACCTCCCAACAGAGGATATTGCACAACCATGACCTAACCACAATCTCTAACCCCACAATCTCACCGCAGAAATATAACCTTTTGGAAATATAAGCTGTAGATCAACACCTGCCAGCATTTTCTAGCAGCTTCAGTTGTCCTGGGCGAGAATTGGTTTCAACACCTTTTCTTGGTGGTTGCCTGCAGAGGAATATTTTCTTTTGTGTGTAATGTTTTGCTAGAACAGGTGGCAACTTATTGGTCATGTTACACTTGTCTTAGAGCCTCCTTAAATCCTGTTAAAATTATCCTAATAATTATAACAAGTAATTGATTAATTATTAATATTTCTCTTTTGAGCTAATTTTGCAACACTTGCCAGGAGCACAATACAACAGGAAAGAGGATTGAAATGTGGCAAATACAGTAAAGAAAATTAGCAAATGACAAAAATGTTTCTAGAAACTAAAGTAGGCCTATGTCATATATTAAATTTAAATCGAGTTACTAATGGTCATTAATATTAGGCTAGCCTTCAATCCACAAATCAGCAACATCCACCATAGATTTAGGCTAATGTAGTGAGTTAACTCTAACCATAATAATGTAACAGAAATAGTCAAACGCTTACAAGTAGCCTATACACATCTTTTTCTAGCACTTCAAAACTATAAATTCATACATAAATGCTTATTTTAAATGTATTTTTTATGTGATGACCAACACATTTTTTGTTCATCTTTCAAAGATTGTCCTAAAACAAAACGTTTTAAGATGTTGGATAACTCTTATTTAAACACTTATTTAAAAAAAAAAAAAAAAAAAAAAAAAAAAAAACATTGCAAACAGTAGGATGTTAATTGTCTATGTTAACATTTTTTCACTCCTTTTGTTTTTTAATTAATATTAAGACATTATGAATGACAATAACTAAAGTTAATTTCATCTACACCCTAAATTAAGCTTAGTGATTTATTGTCAGCCCCAGTGCTACCAGATTCTTTTTTTATTATTATTATTTTTATTTTTGTAGAACTCGGTGTGAGTTCTCATGTGCTGCCCTCAAATTTGAGTCTGGAGCCCTGTGAACTTAAAATAAAACTCCATACCGTAATATCTGTACGTTAAGTCTCTTTATTATTAAAGAATTTGTCAGTATTACAGTTATTTTGGGGTAAATTTGAATAATTGCATTGCGAGCTGACTTAAGGTGTGCCCCTATATTTTCTGCTTGTGTTCCTAAAATTTTCAGTCAAGGGCAACAGTGCTCCTAGTAAAAAAAATTAGTCTGGAGCCCTGTGTTATCTCTGTAAAGCTGCTTTAAAAAAAATCTGTATTGTAAAAAAAACGCTATATAATTAAATGCGACTTGACTTGGGTCAACTTTTTATTATTATTATTTCTTGATTTACTCCTTCTAATTCTTGAACACACATGAATGTTAGAAAATAGGGCCAACACTGCTGCAAACTTTCTATTAAAGGAGGTATACTATGTGTGAACTTGTATTCTTTGTCATACATTAACCCTTAAGAATTAAAATATTAGTCAGGAAAAGATAAATGAATAGCCAGACACCAGCATCTTCTAATCCTTATTACAATGAGCTCCAGTACTGCTCAAAGTCCAAATGCAGTCTCATACTGACCACAAAACAGTAATGATAACGTCTTTTATGTTTGTTACTTTGTCCTGTTCATACTGTCCATTCGAAATCAACTCCATATGGCAACTGAAAAGGACAGGTCACCTGACGAGCTGAAACTGAAGACTGAAGTAGGGCTGCTGAGTGGAGTGTCTCTCATTGCAGGGGTCATGGTTGGTTCTGGAATCTTCATGTCTCCTCAGTATGTGCTGCTTTATATTGGGAGTCCAGGTGCTAGTCTGTTAATATGGGCTGCTAGTGGATTGCTGGCCATGCTAGCTTCTTTGAGCTACGCTGAATTAGGAACTGTTATTCGTGAGTCTGGAGGAGAGTATATTTACATCTTGCGCACTTCAGGCAATATCATGGCCTTTATATGTGCTTTCACCAATAACATTGTGATGAGACCAACTAGCATGATTGCAGTGGCACTCACCTTTGCCCAAAATACCCTTGCGCCTTTCTATGATGATTGCCTACCACCAAATGGAGCAGTGAAATGTTTGGCAGCCCTAGCAATTATGGTATTGACAGTTTTGAACTGCTTGAATGTGCGCTCCTCCATCAGAGTCACAGTGTTATTTATGGCTATGAAGGTGCTGGCACTTATAATAATTGTGATTGGGGGAGTTGTCCTACTTATTCAAGGGGACACCGCCAACAGCCTCCAAAATTCTTTCGATGGGACAAAGCTGAGCATCAGACCCATGGGAATAGCATTTTACCAGTGTTTGTGGTCCTATGATGGCTGGAACACTTTAAACCATGTTACTGAAGAGATCAATCATCCTGAGGTAATTATGTCTTATTTTGAGGTAATTATGAGGTAATTATTAATGCAACTTATTATTATTATTTTTTTTTATGGAGACGGGTTTAGGGCAGAGCAGGCAGTTTCATTCCATTCCTTGAGCTCCATGCTCGAGCTGTTAATTGAGGGATTTGATTCATTCAGTGTCTACCTTTTTTCACATTGGTGAAACAGACTGTCTCTGAACAGACAAATTGCACTTGGACCTAATTGCA